TTGGGTTTGAGGTTCCCAGAGTTGGGTTTGAGGTCCCCAGGGTTGACTTGGAGGTGTCCAGGATTGGTTTTAATGTCCCCAAAGTTGGGTTGGGGGTCCCCAAAGTTGGGTTCGAGGTCCCCGGGGTGACTTGGAGGTCCCCAAGGTGCTCAAGGTGGGGTTGGAGGACCCCAATCTTAGCCCAAAGACCCCCAAACCCCCCAAAAAAGTCTCTCCATGACATCCACCCCCCCTCTGTGTCCCCACCCCAGGCCAGAGCGGCGCCGGCAACAACTGGGCCAAGGGCCACTACACAGAGGGGGCTGAGCTGGTGGACTCGGTGCTGGACGTGGTGAGGAAGGAGGCCGAGAGCTGCGACTGCCTGCAGGGCTTTCAGCTCACCCACTCGCTGGGGGGCGGCACCGGCTCTGGGATGGGCACCCTCCTGATCTCCAAAATCCGCGAGGAGTACCCGGACCGCATCATGAACACCTTCAGCGTGGTCCCGTCCCCCAAGGTGTCGGACACAGTGGTGGAACCTTACAACGCCACTCTGTCCGTGCACCAGTTGGTGGAGAACACGGACGAGACCTACTGCATCGACAACGAGGCCCTGTACGACATCTGCTTCCGTACCCTCAAGCTCACCACCCCAACCTACGGCGACCTCAACCACTTGGTGTCGGCCACCATGAGCGGAGTCACCACCTGCCTGCGTTTCCCCGGGCAGCTCAATGCCGACCTGCGCAAGCTGGCGGTCAACATGGTCCCCTTCCCTCGTCTCCACTTCTTCATGCCGGGTTTCGCCCCCTTGACGTCGCGCGGTAGCCAGCAGTACCGCGCCCTCACCGTCCCCGAGCTCACCCAGCAGGTTTTCGACGCCAAAAACATGATGGCCGCCTGCGACCCCCGCCACGGCCGTTACCTGACGGTGGCCGCCGTCTTCCGCGGCCGCATGTCCATGAAGGAGGTGGACGAGCAGATGTTGAACGTCCAGAACAAGAACAGCTCCTATTTCGTCGAGTGGATCCCCAACAACGTCAAGACGGCCGTCTGCGACATCCCACCCCGCGGCCTAAAGATGGCCGTCACCTTCATCGGCAACAGCACGGCCATCCAGGAGCTCTTCAAGAGGATCTCGGAGCAGTTCACCGCCATGTTTCGGCGCAAGGCTTTCCTCCACTGGTACACGGGTGAGGGGATGGACGAGATGGAGTTCACCGAGGCCGAGAGCAACATGAACGACCTGGTGTCTGAGTACCAGCAGTACCAGGACGCCACTGCCGAGGAAGAGGAGGATTTTGGTGAGGAGGCCGAAGAAGAGGCCTGAGGAGAAGCGGGAGAGAGCCCCCACCGTCGTCCTTTGCCGCCGCCGTCGTCCTCGGAGAGCCCCCCCCGCTCGTCATCGTTGTCCTCAGAGTCCTTGTCCTTCCTCAGCGTCCTTGACCTTCGTCGTCGGTGTCATCAGAGAGCCCCTGGTCGTCTTGATCATCATCATCATCATCCTCAGCCTTGGCCAATGTCCTTGAAGAGCCCTTGGCCTTCATCGTTGTCACCAGAAAGAACTTGGCCATCGTCCCTGGAGAGCTCCTGGCCTTCGTTGTCATCCTTGGAGAGCCCTTGGCCTTCATCAGTGGCCTTGGAGAAGCCATGGTCATCGTCCTTGGCCTTCATCGGTGTCCCTGGAGAGCCCATGGCCTTCATCATCATCATCCTCAGCCTTGGCCAATGACCTTAGAGAACCCATGGCCTTCGTCATTGTCATCCTCAGAGCCCTTGGCCTCATCGTTGTCACCCGAAAGGACTTGGCCGTCGTCCCTGGAGAACTCCTGGCCTTCGTCATCATCCTTGGAGAGCCCTTGGCCTTCGTCATCGTCATCCTCGGAGACCCCTTGGCCTTCGTCATCGGTGTCATCGTCACCAGAGTCCCCGTGTCCTCCAGTCATGGCCACCCAAGAGCCATCGTCACCACCCCTGGGGTCCATCATCCCCGTCATCCAATCATGGCCAGCTCATCCTCTCCCATCGTCCCCTCTCTGTTGTCACCGAAGGTCCCCCCCGCCGTGTCACCCCCGTGGGTGCCACCACCACTAAATTATTGTCGCCCCCAGGCCCCACTTGGCCCCCGTTTCCACCCAAAACCACCCCTGTGGTTGGGGGGGCAGCTCCCAGGTGGCCCTGTCCCCTTTTGTCCCCGGCCGGGGGCTCTCCTGTCCCCTCCGTGTCCCCTCGCCTGCCACCTCCATCCCCTTTTGGTTCAGTTTTTGCCCTTTTTAAGCTTTTTTTGACCCCTTTTTTTCTTTTTTTTTTCATATTGAAAAGCCGCCCCCGGGCGGGGAATAAAAACCCGGGACCTAAAGCCACCACCGCGTCCTCGTCCTCTTTGTCCCCGTGTCACTTGGGGGGTGTCCCCATGTCCCTCTTGGGGTCCCTTCCAGGTCCAATTTGGGGTCCTTTCCAAGTCCCTTTGCTATTTTGGGGTCCATTTGTCCCCTCCTTGTCCCCAGGGGAGGGTCCCAGCTGTGTCCCCTCAGTGTCCTGATGGTGGGGTCACTGTGTCACCTTTAGGGTCCCTCTTGGGGGGTCCCCATCTCCCTTATGGGGTCTTTCAGGTCCAATTTGGGGGTCCTTCTGGGGTCCCCATGGGGTGTCCCAGCTGTGTCACCTCTAAATGTCCCCATGGTGGGGGCAGGGTGTCACCTTTAGGGTCCCCCCTGTCCTTAGTTGTCCCCTCCAGGTCCTCTCTGTCCCCTTTAGGGTCCCTTTTTGGGGGTCCCCATGTACCTCATGGGGTCCTCCAGGTCCAGTTTGGGGTCCTTCCCAGGTCCCTTTGCCCTTTTGGGGTCCGCATGGGGGGGATCCCACCTGTGTCACCTCTAAATGTCCCCATGGGGGGGGTCACAGTGTCACCTTTAGGGTCTCCTTGTCCTTGGCTGTCCCTCTTGGGGTCCTCCAGGCCCAATTTGGGGTCCTTCTGGGGTCCCCATGGGGTGTCCCAGCTGTGTCATCTCTAAATGTCCCCGGGGGGGTCACAGTGTCCCCTCTAGGGTCCCCTTGTCCTTGGGTGTCCCCTTTTGGGGGTCCCCATGTCCCTCTTGGGGTTCTCCAGGTCCAATTTGGGGTCCTTTTGGGGTCCCCATGGGGTGTCCCAGCTGTGTCACCTCTAAATGTCCCCATGGGGGGTCGTGATGTCACCTTCAGGGTCCCTTTTGGGGGGTCCCCATGTCCCTTATGGGATCCTCCAGGTCCAATTTGGGGTCCTTCTGGGGTCCCCATGGGGTGTCCCAGCTGTGTCACCTCTAAATGTCCCCATGGGGGGTTATGATGTCACCTTTAGGGTCCCCCCTGTCCTTAGTTATCCCCTACAGGGTTCCTTTTGGGGGATCCCCTTTGTCCCCTTCAGGTCCCCATGGGGTGTCCCAGCTGTGTCACCTCTAAATGTCCCCATGGGGGGTGATGGTGTCACCTTTAGGGTCCCTCTTGGGGGGTCCCCAGGTCCCTTATGGGATCTTTCAGGTCCAATTTGGGGTCCTCTCCAGGTTCCTTTGCCCTTTTGGGGTCCATTTGTCCCCTCAATGTCCCCATGGGGGGTCACGGTGTCACCTTTAGGGTCCCCCCTGTCCTTAAGTGTCCCCTCCAGGTCCCCTTCAGGGTCTGCCATCATCCCTGTGTCCCTTCTGGTGTCCCCCAATGTCCTCACTGGGGGTGTCCCTGTCCCCTCTTCAGTTTTGGGGTCCCCCCCCGCCCCAATTCCCTTTTGGGGCCACCCATGTCCCCTCCAGTGTCCCCAACCCCAGGGACTCAGCTCTGTCCCATGCGGGGCTTTAATGATCCGGGGACAAAGGGACGCGGTGGTGGCACCGGGGGTGGCGGCACTTTGGGGACACGGTGGGGCTGTGGGGGGGTGGCACCGTGGGGACAAGAGTGGCATCAGGGTGGTGGCACTTTGGTGACATGGAAGCTCATGGCGGGGGGTGGTGGCACCATGGGGACGTGGCCTTTGGGGCAAGGTGGCACTTTGGGGACAGGGTGTCATTGGCAGATGGTGGCACCGTGGGGACATGGCCACTGGGTGTTGGTGGCACTTTGGGGACGTGGCCTTTGGGGGTGGTGACACCATAGGGACATTGCCACTTGGGGTTGGTGGCACTTTGGGGACATGGTGTCATCCTCAGGTGGTGGCACTTTAGGGACACGGCTGCTGGGGACGCTGTCACCTTGTAGCAGGGCGGCGCTGGGGCGCGGTGGCACTTTTTGGGGACGCTCAGGCCTGGCACTCCGGCTTCTTCTGGGCAGCCTGAGGGGACACACAGGGACTGAGGACGGGTCCGGGTGTCACCTCCCCACACCCCAAAGTGTCACCACCCTCCCGTACCTGGGTGACGCTGACGCCCGTC